ACATCAGTGGGGATATACCAGAAGATCTCAGCAGATCTATTTTCATAGCACTGCTCAAGAAACCAGGTGCAAATGAATGTGAATACCACCGAACAACCTGCCTAATGAGCCGCATAACAAAACTCATCATCCATAAACTGATGAATAGAGCGTGCAGCAGAATCAGGCCAGAGATAGGATAAGAACAGAGTGAGTTTGTTAAAGACACCGGAATATGGAACGCAATATTCATGCTCAGAATGTTATCAGAAAGTGCAATACAAATGCAGAAGGACATGTACCTATGTTTTATAGGCTACACAAAGGCGTTCAACAAAGTACACCAGAAAGATCTGTTGGAACTGCTTGGCAACCTTGATATATTTAGGAAAGATATTAGAATAAGCAAGAACCCTTACTAGCAGCAAATGGCCTGCATGTGGATAGAGAATGAGTTCAGCAGATATACAAAAATAGAAAGGGGCGTAAGGTAAGGATGCGCCTTCTCACTGGACTTATTTAACCTATACAGCAAAGCAATTTTGAGAGAATTGGAAATCCTAGTGGAAATCATCATTGGTGGCCACAATCTTAACAATATAAGATACACAGATGACACAGTACTGATAGCGGAAAAGAAATTACACAACCTCCTACAGAAGGTAGCAAAGGAGACCGAGAAGAAGGGACCAAGCATAAACTACAAGAAGACAGAATGCATGGTCATCATTAAAAGGATGAGCCCAAAATATGATTTACAGGTCAGGGACACTAAAATCAAGCAGGTGTGAAAATTTAGATACCTGGGAAGTGTTTTGACAGAGGATAGAAATTGCGACATTGAGATCCAAAGACATATTGGAATGGACAAATACACATTCCTGATGTAATGAATATGCATACACCTGGGTTCCCCCTTACAGTAATATGATTGACTGGTGTCAGCCATAAATACAGACTGATGTGGAGGTACATGAGGTACATTGACGACGCCTATTGGTTACCATCTAAGAACATGCCTGATTGGATACCTTTCGACAAGGACCTGTCCTATGAAAAGGTTACAGTAGTCCAAAACAACTTTTGCTACTTCGAACAAATATATCCCTTTTTGGGACATATCAGTTGGCGAGAATCTGATAGGAAACAAGTAACAAGTTAAAACAAAAGAAAAAAAATACAGTTGACAACACTTACTAACGAAGTGCGTTAGAAAGACTTCTTCGAATTACAGAAAATAAAATAATTTTCCCATCATTTTTGTTTTAACGCTTATTAACGCTTATTAACGAGGAACGTTAGAAAGGGAAAAAACTGGTGCAATGCTTACAGAAAGTAAGAAATTGCCCCCCTTTTGTTTGGAGAGGTATTTCGGAGAATTGAGGAATACGGGTTCAAGCTGAGTGCTTAAAGAAGATAAAATATTTAGGGCAGATCATTGACGGTAAAGGAAGAAAACCGGATCCAGAAAGGGCTGAGGCTATAAAAAATATGACAGCACCTGATAATGTGGCTAAACTCCAAGCCTTCTTGCGATTAGTAAGTTATTATAGCATTTATATCCAAAAAATGTATATGAGAGCTCCTTTAAATAATTTGGTGAAAAAGGGCGCAAAGTGGATATGGTCGAAAGAATGCGAATAGGCTTTTAAAAAATTGAAATTAGCAGACCTACCGTTAGCGCATTTCGACCCGAAGAGAAAAAAATCATTGTAGCAGCAGATGCCAGTAATGAGGTACTAGGAATTCGGTATTGCTTCATAAATTGAGGACGGATTAATAAAATAGCCAATAGCACATGCCTCGAGAACGTTATATAAAATTGAACGAAGTTATATCAAATAAAAAGAGAGTTTAGCAATAATATACGCTGTAAAAAAATTTCAAAAAGGTTTCTATGCGGAAGAGAATTTATTCTGCAAACAAACCACAAACCACTGTTAACAATATTTGGTTCAAAAAAAGGTATACCAACTCACACGGCAAATCGATTACAGCGTCGAGGTGTAATTCTATTGAATTATAATTTCAAAATAGAATATGTGCCTTCAAAGAAGCTAGGTCATGCTGATGGGTTATCAATATTGATACCTAAATATACGGAACCACTGGAAGAAACAGTAATAGCGACGCTAAGAGACGAAAGTGAATTGTCAGGTCTGTTATGCAGCACTATTTGAGAACTACTGGTTACAATAGAAGATGTGAAAAAAGCAGCGGTAAACGATGATTTCATTAAAAAAAACGACAAAGCAAGTCTGTTTGAATGAGAAAACTAAAAAAGGAATTAGTGTGTCACCTTTTTCAATCTGCGATCAGTTATTACTATACACAGATAGAATTGTAATACCAGTTACTCTGCAAAAGAAAATTCTGAAAGAATTTCACATTGGCCAAACCAGAGATTTCGAGAATGAAATTTCTAATGAGAAGCTATACTTATTGGCCAAGGATGGACCAAGACACAGAAAATTTGGTGAAACAGTGCAGAGGATGTCAACTGGCAGCAAGGGATCCACCGGTAAAGATTCAACCATGGCCAAAGACAGATGTCCTATGGACTCGATTGCATATCGACTATGCAGGACCAATAAATGGATCTTATTACCTGATCATTTGGACAGTTTCACTCTTTGGCCAGAAATTGTTAAGTGTAGACACACTTATTGCAACAAATATAATAAACGCACTTAATGAAATTTTAGTCGTTTTGGAGTCCAATGAATGCAAAAACTTTAGTAACAAACAACGGAATGCAGTTTATGGGAAGAGAATTCATGAAATTCAGATATCATTGTCCATTGATCAAACAACACCAGTATATCATCCAAGATCGAATGGACAGACGGAAAAATTCGTAAACACCTTTTAAACGGCGTTGAAAAAAACCAACGTGGGTTTTGAATGAAAGAAGCATTGAAATTTTTGGCAGTATATAGAATCACGCCAAACCCGAATTTAACGTCAAGGTATTCGCCAGCAGAGTTAAAATGTTTTGAGAAAAATACACTCTGTGTTCAACAATTTGTTGCCTAGTCCGGCTAATGTATTGCTAAAAAAGAAAACCAGATGAAAAAAGCATATAAGCCAGGTAACAAAGCATTTTTTTTTTTCAAGAACTTTAGGGCTGGAAAAATGTATTGGGAAGAAGGAATGAAAACCAAAAAAGAATTGGACAGATCATATATGACAAAATAGGGGAAAATTTTTGTGTTGCAAAAAGACGTTGGAATCAATTGAGACCCAGACACTACAGAGGTCATGGAAAATACCAAAGAGATTCCAAAGGAAGTCCTGTATGATGCATTTCAAATTCCCGTTCCAGTAAGTCAACATTCACCAATGGAGGTATCCCTGACCTCAAGGCCAGAGGTACCAGTATGCCAAACACCACCACTGCAAGGAGGATTGCAGCGAAAAAGACTTAGGAAAAAAATCAATCGATTGTCCAGACACTAAAAAGAGAAAATATTGAAGCTAAATTTCACAAGAAAATTTAGCTCAGGGAAGGTGATGCAATGAATATGCAATGAATATGCATACACCTGGGTTCCCCCTCACGGTAATATGATTGGCTGGTGTCAGCCATAAATACAGACTGATGTGGAGGTACATGAGGACACCAATTGATGACGCCTATTGGCTATTGCATATTGCCTACGCCTATTGCCTATCACTTCGACGAGGACCAGTCCATTACGGTTATCTGCTAAACTGTCCTACTCGGTTACAGTAATCCAAAACCACTTTGCTACTTTAAGCAAATATATCCCTTTTTGGGACATATCAATTCCAAAAGCTAGGCAGAGTATTACGAGACAGGAGGATTTCTTTGGTAACAAAGAAAAGCGTACTGAGCTGCTACATGATATCTGCCCTCCTTCACAGCAGCAAATGTTGGATGGTCTCCTCAAAGATGAAGAAGAGACTCAAGCCAATGGAAGGATGCTAAAGATATCATGAACCGAGTGTGTGAGCAAAGATGAAGTTGCTCAAAATTTTTATTAGCAATAATGAATTGAGCAAATAGCAAAAATAGTATTATCTGTGAGATTTTAACTCACAGAGAGTGCTTAATTTTTATTCCAGATTTAGTGTTGTCTACTCATTGCCATAAAATCAACTGCTTCAGTAAGAATAATATAAAAATAACTAAAAATTAAATGGAAAGTAAATAATAATAATAATACTAATAATAATAATAATAATAATAATAATAACAAAAATAATAATTGGAAGAAAAAGAAGAATAATAAAAAGAAATTTATTTATTCTGATTTCTAACTTTTACTTCAAAAGTGTAAGAGTAGTTCTGCCTAAAGCATTGGATAAAAAGCAGCATTATGGTGACAATCAGTCAAAATTAATAATATTTCCTCTGTGAATTTCAATATAGCTTAAAATGTTTATTGTAAAATATGATTATGACTAACATTGGTCAAGTGATATCTTATTATATTATAAGAATGTATCATGTTAATAAAATTTTGATAAATATGAATTATAATTTTAATTGTCTAGATATTTGGATACAGAAAAATAAAAACAGGAATAATAACTGGACAATGGATTTTACAATGGCTGAAAATGCTTTATCTTAATTTCAGTCTATGGTTATGAGTAAATAAGTAATAATATTATCTTGAATTTTTATTAGATAAGGATTATCAACCATTTTCGCAATCTCAAGCAGCTTTAAGATCAATATTTGAATAATACAAGCATAAAACAATAACTATCTAAACCTATGAAAATTTCCACTGGTGTGAATAACTAATATATCTATGTCACCATTGCATAGATATTTCTGCAGTTAGTGATAGAATGCAAGATACATAGTAAATATGAATTTACACATAAATTTAAATGAAATTAGTCAAAAATGATGTGAAGAAATCTTTTATGATACAAAAAAATCACATAAAAATAATTCAAAGCCAAAAAAGTTTATAAAGAAATTAATTTTTTATTGTCATTAAAGTAAACCAAATACAAAGTCACAGAAAATGTTTACAAGTCATTCAGTTCAAGAAAGAAAGAAAAACTGTGTAACTAGAAAGAAAACAAGAAAGAATGAAATAAAGACTGAAGAAATAGAAGGAAAAGAAAGAATGAAGGAAAGACAGGATGAAAAAGAAAGAATGAAAGAAAGTCTGGAAGGCTAGAAAGAAGAAAAAATGAAAGACTGAAGGACAAGATGGAAAACAAAAAGTGGACATCTAGATAGAAAAAAAGATTACCAAACTAGCTAGAAAGATTGGAGAACTAAATAAAAAAAAAAAATGAAAGAAATATTGGAGGACTAAAAGGAAAAAGAAAAAGTGGACATCCAGGAAGAGAAAGTGGCCATCCAACTAATGAAAAAAAAAGACTGGAGACCTAGAAGGAAAAAGAAAGAATGAAAGAAAGACTAGATAATGAGAAATAAAAGAAAGAACAAAAGAAATACTAGAGGACTAGAAGGAAAAAGAAAGAATGAAAGAAAGTCTGGAGGACTAAAAGCAATAGAAAGAATGAAAGAAAGACTGGGGGATTTGAAGGAAAAAGAAAATGTGGACACATAGGAATAAAAAATGATTGCAGAATTAACTAGAAAGAAAAACTGGAGAACTAGATAGAAAAAAGAATAAAATAAAGACAAGATGACTAGAAGGGAAAAGAAAGAACGAAATAAAAACTGGAGGACTAGAATGAAAAAGAAAGAATGAAAGAAAACCTGGAGGATTCAAAGGGAAAAGAAAGAATGAAAGACAGGCTGGGGGATTAGAAGGAAATGGACAGAATGAAAGAAAGTCTAGAGAACTAGAATGAAAAGAAAGAATGAAAGGAAGACTGGAGGAGTAGAAGGAAAAAGAAAAAGTGGATATCAAGGAAGAAACAAATATTGCACTACTAACTACAAATAAAGAGTGGAGAACTAGAAAGAAAGAGAAAATGAAAGAAAGAAATACTGGAGGACTAGAAGGAAAAAGAAAGAGTGAAATAGAGACTAGAGGATTAGAAGAAAAAAGAAAGAATGAAAGAAAGATTGGAGAGCTAGAAAGAAGAAGAAAACAAAAAGTAAAAAGTAGACATCTAGAAAGAAAAAAGATTATAGAATTAACTAGAAGGAAAGACTGGAGCAGTAGATAGAAAAAAGAATGAAAGAAAGACTGGAGGACAAAGAAGGGAAAAGAAAGACTGGAGAAGTAGAAGAATAAATAATGAAAAAGTGGATATCAAAGAAGGAAAAATTGCAGTATTAAGTAAAAAGAAAGATTGAAGAGCTAGAAAAAAACAGAAAGAATGAAAAAATGTTGAAGGACTAGAAAGAAAAAGAAAGAATGAAAGAAAAACTGAAGGACTAGAAAGAAAAAGAATGAAAGAAAGAAAAACTGAAGGACTAGAAAGAAAAAGAAAGAAAAACTGAAGAACTAGAAAGAAAAATAAAGAATGAAAGAAAAACTGAAGGACTAGAAAGAAAAAGAAAGAAAAACTGAAGGACTAGAAAGAAAAAGAAAGAAAAACTGAAGAACTAGAAAGAAAAAGAAAGAATGAAAGAAAAACTGAATGACTAGAAAGAAAAAGAAAAACTGAAGGACTAGAAAAAAAATAAAGAATGAAAGAAAAAAACTTTAGAAGAAAGAAAGAAAAGAAAGAAAAACTGAAGGACTAGAAAGAAAAAAAAAGAAAAAAATGAAGAACTAGAAAGAAAAAAAGAAAGAATGAAAGAAAAACTGAATGACTAGAAAGAAAAAGAAAAACTGAAGGACTAGAAAGAAAAAGAATGAAAGAAAGAAAAACTGAAGGACTAGAAAGAAAAAGAAAGAATGAAAGCAAACTGGAGAACTGGAAGGAAAAAGAAAGAATGAAAGAAAGACTGGGGGACTAGAAGGAAAAAAAAGAATGAAAGAAAAACTGGAAATCTAGAAAAAAAGAATGAAATAAAGACTATATGACTAGGAGGAAAATGAAAGAATGAAAGACAGAAGGAAGTATTAGGAAGAAAGACTTAAGTTCTAGAAGAGAAAAGAAAGAATGAAAGAAAGACTGGATTAGTAGAAAGAAAAAGTAAGAATGAAAGAAAGTCTGGAGGACTAGAAGAAAGAAAGAAAGAAAGAAAGAAAGAAAGAAAGAAAGAAAGACTGGAGAACTAGAAAGCAAAAGAAAGAATGAAAGAAGGTCTAGTGGACTAGAAGGAAAAAGAAAAATGGACATCTGTGAAGAAAAAAGAACTACATAGAAAGAGAGACTGGAGAATTAGAAAGAAAAAGATAGAATGAAGGAATAACTAGAAGACTAGAATGGAAAAGAAAGAATAGAAGGAAAAAGAAAGAATGAAAGAAAGCTTGAGGGACTAGAAGGAAAAAGAAAATGTGTACATCTAGTAATAAAAAATGATTGCAGAACTAACTAGAAAGAATGCCTGTTGAACCAGAAAGAAAAAAATAGAATGAAAGAATGATTGGAGGCTAGAAGGAAAAAAAGAATGGAAGAGAGACTCAAAGACTAGAAAGAAAAAGAAAGAATGACAGAGAGACTGTATGACTAGAAGGAAAAAGAAAATGTGGGATAGAAAAAACAAAAAAGAAAAAAGAAAAAAAAAAAAAAGTAGAAAGAAAAATAAAGAATGAAAGAAAGACAGGAGGAGTAGAAAAAAAAAGAAAGAATGAAAGAACGACTGGAGGAGTTGAAGGAAAAAGAAAGAATGAAAGAAATACTGGAGAACTAGAAGGAAAAAAGAAATGAAAATTGAAGAAAGAAAAAAAGAAAGAAAGAAAGAAAGAAGAAAAGAAAGAAAGAAAGAAAAAGGAAAAAAAAAAAGAATGAAAGAAAAATGGAACAGAAAGGAAAAAGAAAGAATGAAAGAAAAGGAAAGAAAAGGAAAAGAAAAAGAAAGAATTTGGAGGAAAGAAAAAAAGAAAGAATGAAAGAAATGCTGGAAAGAAGGAAAAGAAAAAAAGAAAGAAATGAAAGAACAAGAAGGAAAAGAGGAGAAGAAAGAAAAATGAAGGAAAGAAAAAAAGAATGAAAGAAATGCTGGAGGACAAGAAGGAAAAAGAAAGAATGAAAGAAATGCTGGAGGACAAGAAGGAAAAAGAAAGAATGAAAGAAATGCTGGAGGACAAGAAGGAAAAAGAAAGAATGAAAGAAATGCTGGAGGACAAGAAGGAAAAAGAAAGAATGAAAGAAATGCTGGAGGACAAGAAGGAAAAAAAAAAAAGAATGAAAAGAAAGAGGAAAGAAGGAAAAGAAAGAATGAAAAGAAATGCTGGAAAAGAAAGGAAAAAAAAAAATGAAAGAAAAGAAAGGAGGAAAGAAGGAAAAAAAAGAAAGAAAATGAAGGAAAGAAGGAAAAGAAAGAAGAAAGAAATGCTGAAGGAAAGAAGAAAAAAAGAAAGAATGAAAGAAATGCTGGAGGACAAGACAAAAAAAGAATGAAAGAAAAAAGGAAAAGAAGGAAAGAAAGAATGAAAGAAATGCTGGAGGATAGAAGGAAAAAGAATGAAAGAAATGCTGAAGGAAAGAAGGAAAAAAAAATGAAAAAAGAAAATGGAGGACAAGAAGGAAAAGAAAGAATGAAAGAAATGCTGGAGGACAAGAAGGAAAAAAAGAAAGAAAGAAAATAGATGGAGGACAAGAAGAAAAAAAGAAAGAATGAAAAAGAAAAATGCTGAAGGACTAGAAGGAAAAAGAAAGAATGAAAGAAATGCTGGAGGACAAGAAGGAAAAAGAAAGAATGAAAGAAAAGGAAACAAAAAAAAGAATGAAGGAAATAGAAAGGAAAAGAAGGAAAAAGAAAGAATGAAAGAAATACTGGAGGACTAGAAGGAAAAAGAAAAAGTGAACATGTAGACAGAAAATATTTTGCAGAACTATCTAGACAGAAAGGCTGCAGAACTAGAAAAAAAAGAAGGTGTGAAGGAAAGACTCGATGACTAGAAAGAAAAAGAAAGAAAGAATGAAAGAAAAACTGGAGAACTAGAAAGAAAGTAAAATTGTTATTGAGTCATCTTCTGTACATAAAGTGTATGAATTAGAATTAAAATATATAATGGTATAATATGTTGTATTCAGTATAAATGAAAGTTTAATCTTTTAAAGTTTTCCAAACATTTAAACTCTTATCAACAACTTATTCTTAGATCCAGTAATCATGTAAACCCATTTATGGTTTTATTCAGGTTGAAATTATTGGAGATTCTTATATGGTCGTCAGTGGGTTACCACATAGAAATGAAAATCGACACTCAATTGAAATTGCTGATATGTCTTTGTATGTAATTAGTTCAATGTTGGTATTTAAAGTAGGTCATATGCCAACCAAACAACTTCAAGTGCGAATTGGTTTGCATACAGGATCATGCTGTGCTGGTAAATATGTTCTTCATCATTCTTTCTCTTGCTTATTGTTCTTATTAAATTCATTCAAATAACATATAATACAATATAAAATATTTATATAAAAAAATAAAATGTATCGTTAAAACATGGGTCTCAAAACATTTTGACCATCATCCTATTCATAAAATCCTTTGTCCCCTGTACCAAAAATTTCTTTATTTAAGGGTAGAAATTTGTTTGCCTTTCTCCTTCATTACTGTTTTTTTCTTGATAAAGATTCCTTTTAGTATTATGTTATTTGTCTTTTTCAATTTCTCTCTTCCTAAAAAAAATATATTTTGAATAATGATAATAATGAGAAAAACATTAAAATTTGATTCTCAGGTATGTGTGTGATCCTAAATCAGATCAAAAAAAAAATTTTAAACTATTGACCCCACAGCTATGTACCAAAAAATGTTCTCCTTCATTACTGTTTCTTGATAAAGATTCCTTTTAGTTTTGTTTTGTTAATTCTTTTTCAATTTCTATTTCTCTCTTCCTATACAAGATGTCTTTGTTTGAATAATGATAATGTTGTTAAACTCTTGTGTTACTTTGCAAATCTGACAGCTTTATTAAATGTGAAGGATGTGTTTGATGAGCAGTTAGTTGCAAGTGCGCATTCATATTTGGTTGGTAATTGATGAAATTTATTTCTAATTCACCATGATTTATTAATCATTCCACTTTTGATTCCAAGACAGTTATCACCTGTCTCCACTTTGTCATTGCAGGCATTTGTCATCACTCTGAAGAGTCCTATTGATCCCCAGAAGTCAATATCAATACATTTTGAAACCCCTGTTTCAAAGGAAACATATCTATTATGATTTACTGTTGAATATGGCAATAAAAACAGTTTTTGTGTTAGACATGGTGACATCAATAAAGTTAGGTTATTTACTTAGACTAACACCTTTGCTACTTTTAGATTTTATGCCAATAAATGTTTTTGTTCAGGTGTATGTATGTGCATGTGCATGTGCATGCACATGTGTGTGTGTGTGTGTGTGTGTGTGTGTGTGTGTGTGTGTGTGTGTGTGTGTGTATGCAAATACACACAAACTCCTACAGGAAAACCATAGAATTCATTCAAAATATTCACATGACAATCATGAAACTTTAAGAGAGCAGCAATTCTTAACAGATCTATTGAAAATGAGTTTTAGAGTTTAAGAATTTTTTTGTTTCTAATAAAATTTTCCTGTTTTTTAGTAGAAAGGGATCTTTTGCAATTCCATTGTAACTTTGGGTTTTGGTGTCATATTTTTCACCATTTAAAACATTTACCAGATAAGTAAATCTCTGTACTTGCTTTATTTTGATATCTCCAATTTGTAGCTCTCATCTCAGGTTATCCATTTTTCTGACAACCATATATTTTATATCCTTAATGTTAATTATTAAAGAGTACTGATTTTTATCCCAGTGACATTTAAAACACTGAACACACACTATTCTCCAAGTGTGCAGGAGTGAATTCATCAAAGCATTAAATTTCTCAAATGCCAGTGCCAATCAACATTAAAACAGCTACAAAAAATGCTGTTGCACTGATTGACTATATCTGAAGATGATAGATAATTGATTTCTAAAGACAACACAAGCAATACAACAGAAAGATGTCATATATAAAATACAGGGATTCACTAAAAAGGAACCTTGTCTCCTACAGGAGAGACCATAACAACATCAGAATCAAACCAGTGAATAAATTCATTTATTTGGGAAATCTTATATCATACAATGGAAAATTTAATACAGAAATCTAAAAGTGCAATGGAATAGCAAAATGTGTTTTTCAAAAACTACACAAAGTATTAAGAGATAGAAAATTTTTGTTAGAAAAAAAAAGAAAATAGTGCTGATCTGCTATATAATATCAATGAACCTATATGACATGTGAAAGCTGGACAATGCTGTCATGCATGAATAGAAGATCTGAGAAGATGTGGTTCTACAGAAGGATTCTGAGAATACCATACACAGAACATGTGAACAATAAAGAATCTTTAATGAAAACAGAAATAAAAACAACACTTATACTTAGAAAGAGATTAGCAGTTTTGATAATTTGTTGTTAACAGGATTTATTGAATGCAAGAAGGATAAAGGGAACCAATGATCAATTTGTCTAACAAGATTGTGTAAATGAACATTAGAATAGGGATCAGTAAAGAGACAATAAACATATAAACATTGTGCAGAGATACAAAGGATAAGAGATTGTCAGCTAGATTTATTAAATTGAAACTACAAAATAATTTGTGCACTGGTCTGTAGCAATATTTATAATTGAATTGATAGCAAACATTCTGGATTATCAGTCACCCTTATAAACAATTCATTATTAAAATCTTTTATAATTAATTATTATTTAATTAAAAAATTATAAATTATTAAACATAAATTATTAAATTATTCTGTATAATGATCTTACACATTTTCATGTATGTTCATATATGTAGGCATATACATGTATATTTGTATATGCATGTGATTGTGGATGCATATATGTATTTGCATATTTATGTATATATATGTGTATGTGTGCTTGAATCTGTGAAGAATAATTATTTCTTTATTTTTAGGAATTGTGGGAATTCGAATGCCTAGATATTGCTTATTTGGAGATACAGTTAATACTGCTTCCAGAATGGAGTCTACAGGAAGTGGTTTGTCCAGATTATTTTTTTATTATATATATATATATATATATATATATATATATATATATATATATATATATATATATATGTATGTGTGTGTATATACATATATATATATATATATATATATATATATATATATATATATATATATATATATATATATATATATATATATATATATATATATAGTGCTGGTGTTAATAAAACAGTGCTTGATGTAATACAACTGAAAGCCATTATGTATATTAATAAATATACACATTATTCGTCATACATACATATATATATATATATATATATATATATATATATATATAAATTTGTGTAACAATGTACAGAATACCTTCTCCAAAAAAGAAAATGAAAAGTTAATTGAAAATGAGTTACTTCATTTCTTCTTGGTGAGATTTCATAAAATGTGTGAAATATTTGGTGCGACCTGGAAAACACTGGATAACTTTACATATGAAAATATTGATCAATCTAGATATATTTCCTGAATTTGCTTTTGAGTTTCAATTTGTGCATGTGCATTATATATATATATATATATATATATATATATATATATATATATATTAGGAAAATTAATGACAAAGTGGAAAACATTTATCACCATAATAATTAATACCCTAATTATTTAATATGCTGATTCATCACAAATTAATTAATCAATTAATGCTATTTTACCATTTATAATAATTTTTATAAACAAAAATTTGGATTACCAATAAGTGGGCTTTTACTATGTATCTGCTTAGAATTTCTAGAATTAGGTCCTTTCCAAAATATTTTACCTAAATAATCACAATATTTTCCATATATTTTCATGACAGTCTAGTAATATATTCCCTGCAAAACTACTTTACCTGAGCTTGTAGATAAACTAAACAAAGTAGAGTATACAATAGAATTAACTTATGAAACAGAAACAAATGATACATTATGTTTCCTAGATATCATCTTACATCATAATGACAATGGCCTAAAACTAAATGTCTATTTGCAAATAAACTAATAAAAGTTGTTCAATAAATTTTTATTCTCATCATAACAAAATAATATCTGAAATTGGATTCTATTTAAGAGTAATCAGAATTTGTAGTCTTCAATATTTACATGAAGGGGAGAAATACATTGAAAATACTTTGAAGCTCCACCAATGCACTAATTATATCATAGTTAATGCAAAACAAAATATTTGTAAAATATTTCAAAATGGAAAAGCAATCCTTCCTGACAAACCCAATGAATAAAAATATATTGTTCTATGCAACAATTCCATCACAACTACAATTGAAAAGAATTTATGTAAATCTAACATCAAATTTGTCACAACGAAGCAATAAAATAATTAACTGATACAAAATAACAAAATAACATAATAAGCTAAAACTTAAAGGAGGAATTTACTCTATTATCTGTAATAATTGCCACAAGGAATACAGAGGGGAGACCTCAAGGAATTTAAATAAAAGATTATATGAACACAAAAGGGATTTTTTACAAATAACACACTCAATGCATTAATTGCTCACTATAATGAGATTGACCATAATTTTGATTTAAAAAATGTTATTTTAATTAAAAGAGAAAACAATTTACTAAGATGAAAATGTTTAGAAAGTGCTTTAATTGCTAGATCATCCACAATAAATTTGTGTGCAGATTCTTAAAATATTTTGCCATTCTTGGCAGATCTTCTGTTTTCACAATATGGTATATTTAATAAAAAAGTGATGGAAAGATAAACAAAAATGCAAAAGAAATGTATTATATATATATATGTATGTATGTAGTATATATGTATTTCTTTTTTTCTAAGTGTCTCACAACTTTATTTGTTTCTATAGCCATGAAGATACACATTACTGAATCAACCAGAAATTCTCTTCTGGCCAACTGCAATGATTACACTATTTCAAGTAGAGGGCAGATCATGATTAAGGTAAAATAAACAAATATTTTCTTTAGTTCTGTGTTAAATGTAATATCCAGTAATGCCATAATATACTACGTCAGTTTCATATTATTTGTTATATAAAACCCTAAGCAGGATATGTAATGTAAGCCCATTGTATCAATGCAAATTGTAGGAATTTATGGGATACTTAAATGTAAAAGAAAGAAAGAAACAAGACAATCAGCAAAAGTACAAACTAGGATCTTGAAATGTGTTCAGAAGAAAATGGGTTCAGAAGAAAATGGGTTCAATAATACACAGCAAACAACCAAATAATAACCAACTCCAGGTTTCAAGAGCACCTAAGATATTTGTGGACATGGAAAAACCCAGAAAATACAAAGAACTAGAAATTATATAACAATCAATAAAAGATTTATGATTTCATTTCTGTACTCTATAATTTATCCAAGTGTGGGAGAAACTAGATTTCAGTCATATGTAAACTCTGATTAAAATTATAGAAATTAAAGAAATCCAAAGCAGTGTCTAAACTCTAATTCAACAGACATCAGAATGACAATTTGCAAACAGATGTATGCTGACAGTGATAAGAGCAACTATAGTAACAAGAAATTCAAAATGGTATACCTTAAAGTATAATCAAAATTTATTATCAGTGTACACTATCTTAACAACATAAGATATGCAGATAATACTGTGTTGATAGCAAACTCAAAAAGGAAACTGCAGGAAACTCCTAGAAAGCAAATAAAGAAAAGTTAGAAGAAAGGCATAAATATTAACTTTAAGAATCCACAATGTATGATAATCAGCAAAAGGTCATCCCAAGGTGTGAGCTACAAAGTGGAGACATCTGATTCAAACAAGTATAGTTTAATTGTTTGGGTTAGGGTTGTAACAGATGACAAAAGAATTAACACAAAGATACAAAAGCACATTGGAATAGTGAATGATGTCTTCCAAAAGTTAAAAAAATATTAAGAGCTAGAAAGATTTTGTTAGAAACAAAGAAAAGAGTTCTGAACTACTATAAAAGCAACCCCCACATATAGCAGTAAATGTTGGATAATTTCATCATAGATAAAGAGAAAGATGTGGTTCTACAGAAGGATACTGAGAATACTATACACAGAACATGTAAGCAAC